TTTCTATCTAAGTTCTAATGGATGTGATTATGACATAATTAAAACAATGATGCATGTTAGAGATTAAAAAAAAACTTAAAATACGATATTTTATATACTATTAACTCACAATACAATAGGATGATCAAGTAAAGTCAAGGTTAATATGATGAAATCACACTGTTTCAAAGAATCTAACAATAAAAAAATAATCAAATATTCATTAATGTCACATATCAAAAGATAATTTGAAAGTAAATAAATTGTTTTAAAAATTGAAATACAAGACAATTTGCAATAATAGAATTTATCGGAAAGGCTTAAATTGAAAATTTTTAACTAGACTCTTTATCTCTTAAGCAATTCTAAACAATTGCCCAACAACTATATCTCAAGTTTATTCTATAATTTTTTCTAGCAACTCAATTTACACTTTATTACAACTAATTATCCGTCATCAATTTCCCATTCAATTTTCATGCAACTTATCTCTATAGGCCATCATCAATTTTAAATTTGATTTTTCTCATAACTTATCTCTATTGGCCATAATAAATTTTAAATTTAATTTTTCCACAACTTACCTTTATAATCCATCATCTTAACTAACTTGGAGATGTCTCAAACCTATAGTTTAATAATCAATTTCACACCACCATTGTCTCATTTCAAGTATCAATTAGAATAAATAAGTGTTTAATCATCAAACCTCCAAATTCAATTTAAATCCTAACCCAAGCCTAACTCAATTTTCATTCGACCAACAAATCCAGCATAAATTAACTCCAAAATAATTAATAAACACATATAAACATCTAAATTTTAAGCTCAAATGATGAAAATCTTACTTTTGACAAATGAGTCTTCACATTCGGATTTTAGCCTTTCAATTTCAACAAGCCTCCCAAACTTTAATCTATCTTAATATCACTTGGAATCATCTTGCTTTTATGGTTTTAGAGTATTTAGGCAAGGTTTTAGCATAAAATTAAAAGAAGGAGATGGATGAAGTAAAGAGGATGAAGGAGAATGAGAAAGAAATAAAAGAAATGAAAATAAGGTAAAAAAGGGAGAGGCTATCTCGTTTTTTAACAAGGTTGTCCAAAAAAAAAATTCTTTTTTTATGCTTCTTCTTTTATTGTCTCTTTTACGGTGTTGGGCACTAATTTTTATTTTATTACAAATTATAAAATTTTAATTTATATTAAAAATGCAATTTATCTCTAATTAACTTATAACTAATTTTCTTAATCCCAAAAGTATATAATTTACTAATTTAACCTTATTTTTTAAGGGGGTATTACATTCTAGAACCAATACAATTTTAGAATTCCGAACCTCTTTAAAATACTAGTTGGTGACTTCGTTTTTGTTTTGTCTTTTTAAACTTTTTTTTTTAATTTGGAATTCCCATATGTAGGTCGCAACAACTCTCGTTGTAATTGTTTTGGTTTGTCCGGATACACAATTTCAATGCAAATTTTCTCTAGTTTTCTAAAAGTTTATCTTTCTTGCAGTTCACTTTCTATAAGTTTATCATTTATAGCTTTATGCTTTGTTTATCGCTTTCTTTACAACTTTATCTAGTACTCTCTTTACATGCTTTCTTTACAAACTTTTAGTTTACTCGATTGTTTTCTTTCACACACGGTTTAACAATTTTTTAAAGTTTTGTAAGCACTCCGTTCAATGTAAACTCCTCAAAGTTCACTTACATAAATCTCTATGATTTATTGCTCAATACAAACCTATTAATTTGTTTAGCATAAGACTTGAGAATCATCAATCGATTATTCAATGTAAGCTCACACTTTTACTTGCTTGATGAAAACTTAATTGTTTAAATTGATTTGTACCCCTAGGATCTTCATGATAAATATAAATATATCTTAAAGACTTATTCTTTTATTTAATTTTTGTTGCTAAATCTAACATTAATTTATATGTTTTATTTGAACAATTTTTGTTTAGGTAGAATAGTCCTGCTCATCCTTGTTTATATAAACTTACTATGTCTAAGTTTTTGGGAGAATTTATAATCCTGCTTGATTGCGGAGGACCGCCGCTTCTTCGCGAATTGAGTTTTATATTATAAAAAAAGTATTCGAGCTACTAAAAGAAAAGATATTTATATCAGTAATAGTTAGATTAATTGCATTTTTTATTAAATTATGATTTTAATATCTTATTTAAATACTTTTTGAAAATATAATCTAGAGCTTCGGGTTCAATATTATAAACGGATAAAATGAAATATGAAACTCTGTTTGTCGTTCTCGCCAATTACAACACAGCAACCCATTAAATAAATAAATAAAATAGACAGATAACATGATTTGTTTGTCCAAAAAGGAAAATGTCAATTTTTTAAAACAACAGACCAAAGTAATAATAAAATAATATGACACTTGATCTATTGTGGTTCATCTATGACTCAACTTTGTGTTCCATAAAATGACGGAAGGGCAAGGGTCAAAGCCGTGGAGGCTGGTTATAGTCGTTACCTTCTTTATGTACGGTCATATTTTGATTTTCTATAGGAAAATTGAGCATTCAGGTCAATTTCGGCTTCTAAACAACTCAGTTTCTTTCCAATCCATCCTTCTCCCTCGCCCACTTCAAACAACTGGCATACCGTAAATTAATCACCGACAGCCTACTTGACTGGGCTGCAAATGAGTCGAGCCGAGCTTTCATGTGCTCGAGCTCCGCTCATCTATCTTTAACAAGGTTCAAGCTCAACTTGTATTCATAACGAGTTTAAATCGCGATATCTAAGCTCGGTTCATTTAAAATTTGTTAGGCTTAGACTTTTCTCTAACTTGGCTCGTTCATATTACTTTACAAGCCTATAAACGAGTTTGACTTAAACTTTGGATATATTTATGACAACATAGTTTAAATTTTATTTTTTAGAATATAAAAAATAGGACTTAATTAAATGTAAAACTTGTTTATTTATGAAATTTTATGTATATCGAGATCTCGTACAATCTAAATTTTTTATTAAAACCTTTAATTTTTTTTCTTGTCTAATGTAAAAGTTTTATTCTTATATTATTATTGTTTCGATTCTAATATGCTATATAAGCACAAATACAAACTTTAATCAATGACAACTTGTCTCGTCATTAATTCAATTATTCAATTTGAGTTAATTAATTTAAATTATACAGACTTCTCAAAATGTGCAAAGCTCAATTTTTATGACATTTTATAAATATGTTTAATGAAAGAAATTAGACAATAACAATCCAATACCATATATTAAGCAAATACTTAAATTTATGTTTCATTAGATCTCAATTTCTTATTTAGATTTATTATTAAATTTTATTTCATTAAAAATGTATTTGATTGCATATTAAATTAGTTTACTTTATGAAAACTATTTTACAAACTTTTTTCTCCTTCTCAATTTTTCGCAAGCTTACAAATGAACCTACTTGCAATTTTTGAAGCAAAATTGCTTATAAATCTAATCGAGACGGTTTATGAGCCTAGATAAGCCAAACTAAATTGAGCTCAAACGTGGCTTGTTTATTTAGAAAATTTAAAAATAGGCTCATGTGAGCTTATTATATCTTCATAAACGAATTTAAATTCAGCTTTTAACAAGCCGAGTTAGGAGCAGCTTATGAGCAGGTCGACTCATTTGCAGTGCAACTGTTCGAATAAGGACATGAAAGAAAAATAAAGGGCAAACCTCAAATAAGTCCCCTAACTATATAAGGATTCTTGATTATATCTCAAAACAATTCTTTTATCTCAATTGGGCTAAAAAAATCTATACATTCCTTCATCACAAATGATATCGTTTTATAGGGAGTTTGATCTCTTCGGTTACTAATTTGTGATAAGTTTTGATAGAAAACTCGATTAACAATGTTTAAATACTCTAGGGAGGCTAATTTAGAAAAATAAAAATTGTAGACCATATAGATTTGAGTTGTAGTTTATGACTAATTTGAGATTTGGCAAAAAAGAAAATTGCGTGAACAGCAGGATTCGAACCTGCGCGGGCAGAGCCCACATGATTTCTAGTCATGCCCGATAACCACTCCGGCATGTCCACCTTCTTGGAATTTCGTTACAACAAAAATAATAAATATATGAAAAACAAAACACAGACAAATTGACAAGAGCAGCTTGATCAGACTGAAACAATTTCCTTTATAGTGTCAGGAGTTGTAATTCATGTAAAATGCTAATTTTGACAAGATATTGGCATTTAGTAAAGTGAGATAACAAATCGACTGGTGCAATCTGCAAAGCTTTTTTTAGCTGCATCTGTAATGAAAGATGGAACTTTGCATGCTAGCTTCCTTTAATAAGCAATAGTATCTCGGAGACGGACATGCTTCAACAACATATTGGCTTTAAGAGCTATTATCTGACAATTCCGCTCACAAAGGTATAGAAGACAATTTTCAGCAAGGGAAAAAAAATAATAATTTGACTTTTTTCATGTGGTCCGCAATGGAAATTTTTACTCACAGTAACACCCGTTTCCTTCTAACCAGATTGAGATAAATCTAAGGTTTTGATTCTTATAGCAAAATATCAATAATTGATAATAGATGCCAGTAAAGCATTCCTCCGGCCAAAATTGTTGGAATTGTGAATGCTAATCATCCGCTTTCAGATCTCTAATACAAAAGGGGGTTTTCTCGGGTTCGTATAACTATCGCATTAATATCACCCTGACATCAGAATAAGCAGCTAGAAGCTTGTATTAACAATCAGGAAACCCTGATATAGTTTCATAGCATCAAGAATAGATGACAAGTCATCAATAAGTACCTTTACTTCAACAGCTTGCCATTTATTATGTCACGAAATTGTCCATTGATAAATACATTATTCACGGTGGCATGCTAGCCATACCTGCTAACACAGAATAACATACAGGAGAATTTGAAGGCTAACTAGCCGGTTTTCTTTCAAATCATTTCAGCTACTTTGAACCCAAAAAAATATATATATTAAGGGTTTCTACTTTTGAGATTCTAGTCAACCAATCAAGACAGGAGGAGGGAAACCATATTATTGGCAGAATCTGGTCCATCATTATTTACACTCGGTATTATTTTTTCAGGAGACACAAACTTCACAAACTCTTTAAGTTCTGTAAAACTGCAATGCTCACTGTATGGTACTTCATACCTGGTAAAAATGGAAGCAAAAATTTCATGTTAGTTCAATTCTGAAAGTGACGTATGATGTATGTCAAATTATGTCTATCCTTGCTGTGTAGGCAGTAGGAACATACAAAAATGCCCATATTGCATTGGTAACAGAAGCAATTTCAGGGTATAGCTATAATGCCAACATCATTGCTGCAGTTGACATATTCCTCAGCCAAAATGACATGATTGGAGTTTCACATACGTTTGACAGAGTGTATAACTCATAAAGCTATATAGTTCGCCAGTAAACAATACATGGCAAGTGGCAACTAAACTCACATGCAAAATGCACAAGGACCTTGCAAGCTGGCATCAAAGATCTTTCACTTCAAAATATTTTTCATGAATGAAGAGGTTAAGGTTTTTTTAAGCCAAACACCTGAGCAAAATTTTGCATCTTCTATTATGATCCATGAACCACAGAATTGCATTCTCCAGACATGATACATTCCCTTTTTGAATAAGATGAAAAGCGCATCACACGAGCTTAAAAATGAGGGATTTGCAGGTTTCATGCAAGGTTATTTGAAATGCATTTGCCTTTTCCAGACATTTTAAACTGAGCATGTTTATACGATGGTCATGTTTTCGACTAAAACACATTGAAGTTGGAAAAATACAGAATAAGTGCTCCATCCTCTGCTATTTAAACATTTTGCAATGATTAATCAAAAGTCAATGGACAGAGTTTACAAAGATAGAGACAAGGATATACCTTATAATAGTTCCCTGCTGCCACCTTCTCCCTGGAGATTTCTTCTTCCCTTTACCAAATGTCCAACCAGTGGGGGAGAAAGCAACTATAAGACTGAATCGACCCTGAGTTGTAGGAAAGTATAAACTCAAACAATCACACAAAAGTTTTCTGTGGTTTGAGAGCTAAAGGATTACAGGCCATGTTATTGACATGCTAGCTCAATCATTCTGAATCATAAGCAGCAACTACTTGCTAAACTAATTAGTGATGATAAGCCTAACCAAAAGTACTTCGCAGGAGAAATGAGTGTACATGTTTCTTGGAATAATAATTACTCACAAAAATATGATAGAAAATAGAAAGTTGATGTCAAAATCAAGCATGTCAAAGAATTTCACACACCAAACACTTACAAATAGGGTTTTGCTCAGTACCCTATGTTAGTAAGCAGGCGATGTAGGATGGAATACTTGTGCAAAATTATGTTACTTGGAAATCGCCTAGTCATGCAGAGCACATTGAGGCACCCATCCAGGCAACTATCCTCTTTGCACATCATTTGAAAAGCATTCTCACCCCACCACCACCACACACACAACTATTTAAGAAAAAAATGTCATAATCTCTGATCACTCACCGCATAGTGACTAGATATATGTTTCAATCTTTTGAAGCTTGCAAGCGTCCACATTGGCACAACATGAATTTGGCTTTCTTGTTCGTTTAAAGTAATCCACCTTATATCTTCTTCAGGGAACCCCAAGCATTCTAAAAGACGGAATTTTGCTGCATTAACATAAACCTTCTTATGGAGCACACGAGCAACCTCCAAAAACAACCTTTCCTTTCCTTTTTCAAAATAAATGATAAGAAAATATCGCACCAAGTGAGAATAGTGTCTTGTTCAAACTAATATATATATATAATAACAGAGAGAGACAGAGTGTGAGCGAGAGACAGGCTCAAGGATAGAGGGAGAGAATAACAGAATCTACCAATTGTATAGCTTCCAATCAAAAAAAGTGTTTTGGGGTTGAAAGCTTCAGCTTGAATGGCCTCAATGACAAATTGTATTACAGCCTCCTGCTTTGGAAAGTCATACTGCAAGAAATCATGATATGAAATAACTTTAGTTACAACATAAATTTGCAATGCAAAAATTTACCATGCGAGCTGATTCTTGTCAGGGGAAAATTTGGGAAGATGAATGATGCAGGAGCAACCATTGCTTGGATTTAGCTTTTTATAATTCCTATTTTGTACGTAATTTAGGAGTACTTTTAGCAATTATGTTTTTATTAGAAGTAAACTTTCAATTCAGATAACTTAGGTCTTTCCTAGAATGCGTTAAGACTTGCCATACACCAATAAGCCAAAAGCACAAGCTAGAAAACAAGAGTTAACATCATTGCTCAAACATGAACTTACCTGGGCATTACAATATGTAGTATCAAGGATGAGGGTATGGATAGAAGACATTTGCAAAACAGGCATTGTAACCAGCTTCTCACAAAAACGAAAATCTCCTGTGTGTAGCACAGCCTGAACATTTATGATTTTAGGATTAATATTAGAAATGTTGGGTAAAAATCATAATATAGCATGGCGTCTAAAAAGTCAAAGCAGACACACCTTACCATTGGGAGGTTCGAAGAGAATTATAATGGAACCTGGGCAGTGGTTTGCATCCAAGCACGTCACATCAACACCAGCAATACTGATCTTTTTGTTGAGAGGTAAAACATGTAAACTATTCCAAGGGATCCCAATCTTCAAATTTACAAGCTTTGCTGTGATCAAGGAACAGTAAATCTTCCCATGACAGAAGGACCTTGTTAATCCTTGATAATCTGCCAGACATTTAACATAGTTCTCTTGAGAATATTAAAGCTTTTCATATTAAGTACATTGCTTCGAAAGACCATACAACAACAGGGGAATGTGCCTCGTAATTGATTGCTAGTAAGCAACAAATGTACTTTATCTTCTTTCTAAGACAGCTTAAGTGAATGCCCATGCCATTAGTGACTTTTGATCAGAGTATGATAAATTAATTTGTTTATGACACCATGCATGCTTGAAAATAGATGCATACCCAAATATCTGTGAAACTATTAGAATTTTCATATTTAGTTAGCGAAATAAACATTCATTTATTATAAGAACTTACGGTCCATGTGGAAGTGAGTAAGAAACCAATGGGAACAATCTCCTCTAAGATATTTGAACGCATCCTGCCGATTCAAAAAATAGATTGAAGTGGGCAATAAACCCAGAGATAACATTAGTGAAGCAAAGGCAAAAGGAATTAATAAACTATCATCTACAACTTCACTCTATGGTTAATATCACAGGTGACACTGGCACCTAGAAGAGCCATATTACCAACTTTTGAGTTGAAAAAGATTGGGAATGAGAGTGCAACGAGCAACACTTTCACATCACAAACTAAGTTGAATTTTTACTATTGAAAGATATATCATTACCACTCGAAATGGTGTCCCTGGTATGCTGCACCACAAGGGAATATCTTTGAGCTTTCCCCTTTTAGTAGGGTTTTTCAACCCGCGTTTATGAACATAGTCTGGCTGATTTCTTTCTGCTCCCCGTTGTTCTCTAGAGACAGCACAAGTTTTTTTCTTAACAGTAACAGATCCAGGGAAATAATCCGTAATCAATTTGTTTTCAGTTAAATTACTAGTGTCATCCCCAATAGTTTTAGAAGCCTCTACTTGCATTTCTGCGCCATGGCTTCTCCGAGATCCAGCTTCTCCGGAGGCATGTGCATCTCCATGTGGCTCGACTGCAAGATTAGACCCTTTTCTAAACTCACTAAGAGCATGCCCAATTTTCTTCCTAGGACCAAGTGCAGTGACACCAATGCCAAAGAGGTCCTGGAAAGAAGAAAAAAAACGAGCATTTACCAAATCATGTTCATCTCAGCATAACAAACACTAACAGCAACTGAATGGAGAAATGTTCCAGAAGTCTAAATCACCCAACTATCTAAATAATAAAGGAGGAGATTATGAACAATAAATTATGGCTTCACACATACAAAACTTCCCACAACAGTGACTTTCTATCACTAATTCATGGTTTTCATGATTATACTCCAACTAGCATTTTCTAAGTAAAACAATGGCCCAACAAATTATTGCTTAAAACTAGTTGAGCATGCAACAAGCAACAAACTCCAGTAAATTTAACTACACCTCTTCTGTCAACCACTGTAAAGTGTCCCAATCGATCTCTTCTCGAACAAAAACCTCTTCATATCTCTCTAAACCCAGATTCCTCAGCCATTTGATAACAGGTGACACATCAACAACTTTCTTCGGACAACAAACAGGACCATCCACACCTCGTGGCACAACCTCTGGTTCCCCATCACCACCAGCAACAAATACCTGCAAAAAAAAAAAAAAAAAAGTTTACCAATCGAAGTCGTAAAAACACACAAACTTTGCGAGAATCCTAAAAACACTCACATCTGGAACATTATTTTCTTCTTTATCAAGACACTCATTAGTATGAAATAATCGACATTCCTCGCTCAAATTCGAAATATCGATCCCACAAAGCGGACACAAGACCAAAGAACCTTCATTACCATTACAATTAACCTTAACTTCCTCTCTCATTTCACTTTCATCCTCAGTACATAACTTAATTAAGACGTCAAGCTCGCTATTTTGTTCGAAATCCTCTTCATTACCAACATTAACTCCACAATAATCCACTCTTGATTTCAACAACCTAGCCTCAATCGAATTACACAAATATCCTCCATTCACTTCCAATTTTTCCTTTTTACCACTCTCGCTATCAAATTCCTCGTTCCCAACTTTAGAAGTAGTGCAATCGATGCTTGACTCTATAAAATCCAAGCTGCAATTCTCGTCCAAATTGAAATCACCGGCACCGGATTCAGTTTTCTGATATGGTAATAGAAAGTTGGGATCTATATTTTCTTTGCCGGGATTGGTGGATTTCTTTGGCTTTTTTGATGGAAGGCGAGGATTGTTCGAGGGTTTAAAAGGTTTTTTGTGGGAGGAAATAGTCTGTTTAGGTGTTTGGGATAGAGGGATTTGGAAATCGTCGTCGTCGTTGCAATTTTGCGGGATTGGCAGGGAGAGTGAGGGAGATTGGGACGAATTGAATTTTGAGGACATTTTGTTAGGGTTTTGAGAGACAGTGAGCTGACCTAATGCGGGTTACTGGTTCCGGTCTTCGTTTATGAAAAAGTGCTGTGGAGTTTAGGATGGGAATATGATTGTTTGAAATTTTTGGAGCAGAGCAAGTGGAGGGAAAGAAGGGAGACAAAGTGTTTGTTGGAAACCCTATAATTTACAATATATTTCATTTTGGTTATCAAATTTCAAAAGTTGTCAAGTTTTGTAGTTTGTTGCCTAGAAACACAAACGAGGGTAGGGCTATTTAGTTGTAGATAACATATTATTTTTCATTTTCTATATGAAATTTTCTTTTTCGTTTCTAGTTTCATTTTTTATAAATAATATAAAAAAATGTATTTATTTGGTGAATATAGAAAACGGTTTACCTCTTTGAAAATTAAAAAATATGTTCAATTGCAAATTTTTATCTAAATAATTTCTAAGTTCTTACTTAGGATAAAAGGTTCCAAACCCTTTTGAGCTATTAGTTTCTGAACAATTTATTCCACGCTTGAAATCTCTAAATAAAATTGGAGAGCTAAATAGATCTTGTTGTTAGTTAAATCCATCTTAATATTCAAGCGTGAGAAATGCAAGTGGTTCTTTTATTTCAAGTTGCAAAATTAGATAAACTAGAAATGAAGAAAAATATTTAAAAAAATAATAAGATAAAGAAAAAAGAGCCGTGATTCTTTTCCACTTTGTTTAATTTTTTATTTTTTTTCCTGATTTGATCCAATTTTAAAGGGTGGAACACAAGGGCCACAGGCATCTTACATGCTTGAGGTGTCACTAATTGCATAAAAACCTAAGTTTATTTAACAAAAGGATCTAATTTGCTCTTTAATTTTAATCATGAATTTAATTTCGAAAGCCGAATGATTCATTCAGGGGTTAATTCTACTGTGACCTACAGTTATGTATTTAAACTTTTTAATCTTTTTAATAACTTGGATGAAAAATTTTATTCTCGCCAATATCTTTTCATGTAATTTATAACATGGGTTAAGTAATATTGTTTATAATATTGTAATCAGCTTTTTTCACCAACAACATAAAAAAAAGGGACTAAAAAGGGTTATTACATGGTTATTTAAGAAAAATTATATATATATTATTTTGTGTATTTTGTTATATTTTAAAATTTCTTGATAATGGTCAACCAATTCCACAACAATTTAATTATTTGACAGTTGCATAAAATATTTAATTTAATATATTTTTATTATTTTAAAATCATAAAATTAAATGTTAGAAACACATATAAATAAATTATTAATTAAAAGAGAAACAAAAATTATTAGTAATGATAAGTATTTAACAATTAATGTTTTTGTTTGTATATGTTCAATTTATCCATAAAAATTAATTAAGAATCTAGTTAATTTTATTATGTCTTACTATGTTATTTTCTTGGTTTTTACATGGTCCAAACTACATAATTAATAGATTCAATTGAGAATGGATCTTGCTCAACGCAAAGTCTTGGATCACGAGGATAGACATGAGCATTCGATAGGGTCAATATACATGCATTGTTTTGGAATGCATTAGGACTTAGTGAGTTAAGAGTAGGATCCACTAAAGAAAGGTCTAATTGTTACTTCGTTTATCATTTGTCGGCAAGTTGAAGAAGTTTATGTCAAACAAACCTAAATTCTTCAAGATAAATATGATTGTCTAAATTTGAATGATGTGGCACGATTCTAACAATCAAGGAACATCTTATTTTACTATAAATACTAACCTTATATCATTGTGAGGGAATTGAGAACTTTGGAATCGAAATTTTTCTCTTTAGCAAAAGAAACTCTTGAACTCTTCCTATCAAAGCTCTCTCACTCACATAGTAGACAACACTTAAAGCTCGATCTATTTAAACTTTGACTACCCACCAATTAACCACTCAACTTGCGGATAACTAGTATTGATCGCCTTTGTTCTCACTCCTCTTGATATTTGCATCATTTCCGCTTAGTTGATTAATCATTACATTTACAAGTCATAACACTAGTTCTTTGTATCTTAATTGGCATGTCGACTAGTCATCCGATCAATTTTTAACAACCCCCATACATTTTTGGCAACTCCACTCAAGAGTTAAAATTTGTGAAGAACATTGGCCCTTTCTAAGACAACAAAAAAGAATATCAATCTTGCTACCAACTTAATTGTTCATGATAATTATGACATCCTATTTGATCATAATCATAACGATGACAATGTCGATATGCTTAGTATTGAGAATGACAAAAATCTTTCAAACCCTCAAATTGATATTGGCAACTTGCCAACATTGCCAACACTATCGGGATGTGGCTCGCCTTGATCCATTACTCGAGCCCCTACCATGACCGTTCTATATTTAGGTCTCTAGACTATAACTAAAATCTTAAAGATTTTCTAAGATTCTCAACTCGGACTATAACAAAAACAACAATATACGTTCAAATTCCTTGAAGACAATAATGTTATATTTGTATAAGCCCTTAGTAACGTCACACAACTATTTTTCACAAATGAAATCTCCTAGATTATTGTCCCTTGAACTATGATACCATCAACTATCAATATTGATAGTCCTCCAATACCACATGTTCAACTAGATGATAGGAAACACCTACCATTTGGTTGTGTATAACTACTAACTATTTCATCATGTTACTGCTTTTAGTGATCAACTTTTCTTTCTTACTAAGGAGGACTTAGAAAAAAATTTAAATGGAAGTTAAAAAAATCTTTTAGTGATTATGTGTAATTTATTTATTAAGGAATTTATCTCCACCCATGAAAAGGTGATCATGTTTGACTTGGGGAGATAATGTTAAAATCTAGAGATGTTTTGTTGTAATATAGTAAGTAGTTTAGAGATCATATTCTAGACATCTAAAAGGGTTTTGATGAGAAGGAAACTGTTAAGCTATGTATCTAGGGAATGTGTAAAAAATACATAATACATATTGATAATTTAGGATTGACCATTTTTTCTACCTTAAGGAAAAGCACTCGCAAAACTAACAACTCAACTATCATTTCTAGAAGGAATGACTTCACTTATTGTTATTGGTACCAAAAAGAGTCTTTCGGTACACATCATTTAGTTAGATGATTGACCTAATAGAAGAACAAGAGGAGCGACTATGGAACCGAATCCACCACCACCTTTCTATTGCACCATGGTTATGGTATATGCTCTATTAGACCAATGAGTGGCTGACCAAATTGTTACCCTCTTGTAGATAAAGAAACTCTCATCTTAAGAAGAAAAAAATCTCAAGTATTGTTAGTACTATAGATATGTAAGGCATTCAACATAAAATTATCGTAACTTAAGGTTTTTATTTCATGACAAGCTAAATAAGAGGGTTATCATTTTATATAATAAATATGGTGTCAAATAATCCCGACCGCTATACCAAAATCGCAACAACGACCAAGTGAAGGTCATTTGTCTATGCGTAGTTGAGTTAGGAGAATAAGATTTTGATGTGTATATTTACTAGTTACTCCCACCCACACCATATGCTATGTGAAAAAAAAAAGAAAAAAAAAAGCAAGATTGATAGCTCAATTGCACATTCTTTGTTAAAGTCTCCCAATTTTTACTAATAAAGTTGTTCTCAATTTTTGTAATTCTTGAGTATTTATTTCTAATAAAAAGAACAAAGCTTTATTGAAAATTAGTTACATCTTATGATTAAAGATTGTTCAATCTTTGGGGTTAAAAAGAAAACATATGTACTAGGCTCGTTGAAAAAAATGAATATAAAAGCACATAAGTGCCATAATCTCAAAATTCTCTAAGATGTCGTATTTATTTTCTTTTTTATGGAAATATCATGTTCATCTCGGTTAAGTTTCATATTGGTCGGGCCGTGAGTATTTCATACTTAATTTTTTTGTTCTAATGGCAATGTTATGTTCATCCGGCTAAGTTATACACTAGTCAAGGCGTGAGTATTTCATACTCAGCTTTTTCTTTGTATGGAAATGCCATGTTTATATGGTCAACTTGCAAGTTAGCCAAGCCTTGAATATTTCATACTCAATTTTTCTTTCGATGGTAATTCCATGTACATCCGGTTAAACCGCATGTTTGCTAGACTATGAGTATTTTATATTCTCTTTTTTTTTCTTATGGCAACATTATGTTCATCCGGCCATACTTAACGAGCCATGAGTATTTCATACTTAGTTTTTTCTTTTTTATAGCAATACCATGTTCATATGGTCTAGATATGTGCTTGGCTGGACCATAAGTATTTCATACTCAGTTTTCTTTTTAATGACAATGCTATATTCATCTAGCCAAGCTATGCATTGGCTAGGTTGTGAGTATTTTATACTAAATTTTTTCTTTTTTTGATGACAACACTATGTTCATTTAGTCAAGCTACTCGTTGGTTAGGTTGTGAGTGTTTCATACTTAGGTTTTTTTTTTTCTAATTGTAATGTCGTATGCATCTAGTCAAGTTTGTATGTTTATCCGGCCATGAGAATTTCATACTCATTTTTTTTCCTTTTTAATGGTAATGTCATCTTTATGTGGCTAAGCTAAATATTGGCTAGGTCGTGAATATTTCATACTCGGGTTTTTTTTCGATGAAAATGTTATATTCATTTGGCTAAGCTACACACTAGCCGGACTATAAGTATTTCATGTATTTAATACTCATTTTTTTTAATGGTAATGCTATGTTTATCTAACCAAGTTACACGTTGGTCGGGCCATGAGTATTTCATACTATTTTTTTTCTTTTGATGGCAAAGCCATGTTCATTTGGCTAAGTAGCATGCCGACTAGGCTATAAATATTTTATATGTAGTTATACTTTCTAATAACAATGTTGCATTTCGTCTAGTCGATCTATGTGTTAGTTAGGCTAAGAGCAAGATAATTGAAGTTAAGCGCTCAAGACAAAGCCTTCTCAATTGATGAAGTAAAAACTTATAGCAAAGTTAAGGAGCACTCAAGAACTAAGTGTCTCTCTATATTG